TAATTTTGATTTTTTTAAATAAAAGTTTTTTTGAGACAGAACCTTGCTGTGTCACCCAGGCTAGAGTGCAATGGCGCGATCTTGGCTCACTGCAACCTCTGCCTCCCAGATTCAAGCAGTTCTGCCTCAGCCTCCCGAGTAACTGCGATTACAGGTGTGAGCCACCATGCTCAGCTGATTTTTGTATTTTTAGTAGAAACAGGATTTCATCATGTTGGCCAGGCTGGCCTCAAACTCCTGACCTCATGATCCGTCTGCCTTGGCCTCCCAGAGTGCTGGGATTACAGGCATGATTCACTGCACCCGGCCAAGACCTTTTTCTTAATGTTGGATGATATATCATGCATTGTAGGTGTTACAAGAATAGCGAGTAGGAGTGGAGGTGACTCTGTGACTTTCTTTTAAAGGATCGACCATTATCAGCCAGAGAGAGGAGGCGACTAAAGCAGTCACAGGAAGAAATGTTCTCTTCAGGTAAAGTTGACTTCTTTCTTCATCTAATTGGCAGTTGAGGGTATGGCTCGTGGATAGAAGCACTGGTTCTGACTCTGAGAGGTAGAAACTTTCCAGCAGCAGTAATCCATGTAGGAAATCGATTTGGAAGATATTTTGAAATTTCTTAGTCAAGCCTTTTAAGAAATCATTATAGGCTGTTGAATCTGGAACAAATATCAGAGGAGGAAGATATTTAAAAAGCAGCAAGAGGGCTTTCAGTGGTAGTAACTCCTGGGAGGTTTCAGACCAGAAATCAAGTGAATGATTTCTGGCCAGAGAATTGCTCTCACCTCAGGAACAGAGGGAGGTTACTGGGGGAGTGGCCCTGTCCTAGGCTGAGGGCTATGCTCATTTCTTCTATTATTTTTTAAAGATAGTATTAGCAGTTTCTGTTTATTGAATGCTGACTGTGTCTCAGGCATTATGGTAAACATCTTAAGGGCATTATCACATTTCATATTTACAATAACTACAAAAATATTCAGCATTATCCCCATTTTGCAGCTGAGGAAGCAGAGACTTTGAGGAGTTAAGTAACTTGCCCAAGGTCACAGAGCTGGTGGCCCCAGAGCTAAGATTTCAACTGAGATATCAGACACCAGAGTAATGATAAATATGCTGTTTGAGTTACTTCTGGGCCAGCTGTTGCTGGGATATGTTCCATACCCAATACAAAGCCCTCTTCAATTGGGGTAGCCCACCACAAACAACTACTGGGGATGTTTGCTTTTTCAGGCCCTTCAGTGAGGAAAGCTTCTCCGAGTGTAGCAGGGCCAGGGAAACCCCAGGAGGAAGACCAGCCCATGCCTGCCCGACGGCTCTCTTCTGACTGCAGCGTCACTCAGGTGCATTACATACTCCCAGAATAGAAGGTGGACAGTCTACATCTGGCAGGCCTAATGCAGTAAACCTTATAAATGTCAGCTCCATTTATTTTTGGGGCAGGGCCAGCTTGTTACATCTTTTCACTCTTGATAAAGAAAGGAACTGGTAGATAATAATCAAAAGGATTATGTTTGACCCATTAAGGGAATACATTTTTCAGGTACTCTTGCAAACAACTGACAACCTAATTAAAAATATTTCTTAGGTAGGTCTTTAAAACAGGACTTCCTGGCCTCATGCAGTGACTCACGCTTATAATACTAGCACTTTGGGAGGTCAAGGTGAGAAGATTGCTTTAGCCCAGGAGTTTGAGATCAACCTGGGCAATATAGTTGGACCCTGTCTCTAAGAAAAGAAAATTACCTGGAAAGGTGGTGCACACCTGTAGTTCCAGCCACTCAAGAGGCCGAAGTGGGAGGATCGCTTGAGCCCAAGAGGTCAAGGCTACAGTGAGTTGTGTTCACACCACTGCACTTTAGCCTGGGTGACAGAGCAAGACCCTGTCTCAAAAATATAAATAAATAAACAAATAAATAAATAAATCAGAACTTTCTAAGAGCTTGCACTAGGCAACAGTTTGCTCATTCTGCTGTGATACCAATATACCCATCTGTGTCACCAGATTTGAGTCTCACTTGCTAATCATTCCTGTTTCTTGTGTCAGTGTAGTTCATCTTCTTGCCAGTGGATGATGTAGAGCCACCATCTGGTGGCTAAATGGGTAATTGCTAGGTTTCTAATCCATGTTCACCTCTCTGTGTAATACTCTGAGAAGTCTTCTTGCTCTTTGAAAGTAACGGATGTATTATTTCTTTAACCATATCATTTAGTTAGTTCACTAATAGAAGCTACCCTCCACATCCCAGAGTTGCAAGGTTTATGTGTATTATTAGGTAATCCTTTAAAGCACTTTAACAGTCTTACATTAAAAGCAAGCTGAAGCTGGTCATGGTGGCTTCTGCCTGTTGTCTCAGCTACTTGGGAGGCCAAGGAAGGGGGATTGTTTGAGCCCAGGAGTTTGTGGCCAGCCTGGGAAACATAGTGAGACCCCTGTATCTAAAAAAAAACAAAAACAAAAACAAGCAAGCTGAAGTTGCCTAGGTAATTTAAAATGCCAACATTCCTATGGAACAAGCCCTCTGCTTAGAAGTTGATAAACCAGAACTAGCCATCCATTCCCCTTTGGAAATTTCTTCACAGCCGAGACTCTCCAGGACCCTTGTAAAACTTCACCTTGATGTTCTTCAGTCTTTCTTTTTTTTTTTTTTTTTTTTTTTG